AGAGCTGCATCATCAAGCGGTACTGCGAGAAGAGGTTCGTGCCCAAGTACCTGGCCACCATCGGCATCGACTACGGCGTCACCAAGTGAGAAGAACGGGAATAACGGGAATAACGGGAATAACGGGATAATGGGGGTAATGGGAATAATGGGGATAATGGGAATAATGGGAATAATGGGGATAATGGGAATGATGGGGATAATGGGAATAATAAGATAATGGGAATAATGGGGATAATGGGAATGGGGATAATGGGAATGATGGGAATAATGGGATAATGGGGAGAGTGGGAATAATGGGATAATTGGAATAATAGGAATAATGGGATAATGGGAATAGTGGGATAATGGGAATGGGGATAATGGGAATAGTGGGATAATGGGAATACTGGGAGTAATGGGATAATGGGGAGAGCGGGAATAGTGGGAGTAATGGATAATGGGATAATTGGAATAATGGGAATAATGGGATAATTGCAATAATGGAATAATAGGGATAATGGGAATAGTGGGGATAATGGGAATGATGGGATAATTGCAATAATGGAATAATAGGGATAATGGGAATAGTGGGATAATGGGAATAGTGGAAATAATGGGAATGATGGGAATAATGAGATAATGGGAATAATGGGGATAATGGGAATGATGGGCATAATGGGAATTATGGGAATAATAAGATAATGGGAATAATAGGGATAATGGGGATAATGGGAATAATGGGGATAATGGGAATAATGGGAGTAATGGGATAATGGGAATAAAGGGAATAATGAGATAATTCGGATTATGGGAATAATGGGATAATGGGAATAATGGGGATAATAGTAATATTGGGAATGCTGGGAATATTGGGAGTAATGGGAATAGTGAGAATAATGGGGATGATGGGATAATGGGAATAATGGGAATAATGGGATTGGGAATAACAGGGATAATGGGAATACTGGGAATACTAGGAATGGTGGGAATAATGAGTAAATGGCATGGGATGAAATGGGAATAATGGTAATGATGGGAATGATGGGAATGGGGATAATGGGATAATTGGGATAATGGGAATAAAGGGAATGGTGGGAATAATGGGATAATTTGGATTATGGGAATGGTGGGAATAATGGGAATAATGGGATTGGGAATAACAGGGAAAATAATGGGAATAATGGGAACACTGGGAATGGAGAAATGGGAATAGTGGGAATAATAAGGATTGGGAATAGTGGGAATGGTGGGAATAATGGGGATAATGGGGATAATGGGATTTTGGGATAATGGGATTTTGGGATAATGGGATGATGGATTAATGGGATGGGAGTTTGGGATAATGGGATGGGAGTTTGGGATAATGGGATGGGACTTTGGGATAATGGGATTTTGGGATAATGGGATGAGATTTTGGGATAATGGCATTTTGGGATAATAGGATGGGAGTTTGGGATAATGGGACGATGGGAGTTTGGGATAATGGGATTATGGGATTTTGGGATAATGGGATTTTGGGATTTTGGGATAATGGAATTTTGGGATTTTGGGATAATGGGATTTTGGGATGATGGGATTTTGGGATAATGGGATAATGGGATTACTGGGATAATGGGATGTTGGGATAATGGGATTTTGGGATGATGGGATAATGGATTTTGGGATAATGGAATGGAATTTTGGGATAATGGGATGATGGGATTTTGGGATAATGGGATGATGGATTTTTGGATAATGGGATTTTTGGGATAATGGGATGGGATTTTGAGATTTTTCCAAGGGGTTTTTCTCGGAATTCCCAGATTTCCGAGTTTGTTTTTTTTTCCTGGAATTCCAAGGGGTTTTTCCCGGAATTCCCAGAATCCCAACGCCTTTTCCAGGGTGCAGATCCGGGACCGGGAGATCAAGGTGAACATCTTCGACATGGCCGGGCACCCCTTCTTCTACGAGGTCAGAATTCCCAAAAATTCCC